TGCATGAGAAAATTATCTATGTAAACAAACCTCATCACTTGAGAAGGTAGGTGATGCGGACGCCGTGGAAGACATTTTGTCCCGTAACGCTCGCCGTACTGTTGGGGGGGAGAAGCGGTGGGGGGGAGATGTTCATGTTGCTGCGGTCTGCAGTCTGGACGTTAGATGTCGCTGAAAATTACACACTGTAGCTTTAATGCCTGGTCTATATTTACGTTCAATTAATAATTTGCTAAATTCACATAATTTAATATAACATCCTTTCATGGACATATGTAACATCTTTAAATAGTTTAATAACAAAGTTATAAGGTAACTGTTTGTGTGAGTGGTTTGACTCGTGATAAGAAAAATTTACGTGATTTCAAAAAAGCTAAAAAGCGATCGACTGGACTTTGTTTCCAAGTTTGAAGACGTTTCTCTTCCATCCAGGAAGTTTTTCAATTCAAAATGTCAGAAATAGCGTCGAGTTCCAGGCTTTTTTAATTAACTCTAAATATTTTGAATTGAAAAAGCTTCCTGGATGGGAAATCTTGGAAAACATCAAATGGTCAAATAGTTTTATTTTTAAACTTTTTTGGAATTACCATGACCCGGATGACTAAGAATCTTCCCTGGTGATACGAAGAAAATAGGCTGGCACACTGATAAATAAATTGAACATTATTGATCTTACATTGGAGAAATTTATCTCTGCATTTAACCCATCCCCTTGGGGAGCAGTGGGGTTAAGAGTCTTGCTCAGGGAGCCAGAGTGGCAGTCTGGGGGACTGGGGGATCGAACTCCCAATCTCAGGATTCAAAGCCCTATGCCCTGACCACTAGACCGCAAAGTCAGTGGCTGCTGGGATGCCACCAAGATGCAAGAGCGACTGAAAAAACCTTCAACATCCCACAGCGGTTGGTTTTCCTTAGATAGAAAACTTCAATCAATCTGACTGGATGATCTGGTTGAATTGTCTCTATAAAGTGACCTGAGATGACATGATGTGATTTAGAGCTATAGAAATAAACTGAATAGAGTTACAGTGCAGCAGTGAATCGCCAGGCAACCGAATGCAGCTTACAACCAGTAGACCTTCTTTATTTATTGATTTTATAGAAACTGCTCTAACATCCATCCGTCTGTTTGCAGTTAGTAGTTTCCTAAAATGGCTGCAGGTCAGCCATGACCTTTCAGAGGTTTCCCCTCCATCCGTCCATCAGCTTACCCTGTAGTTGGAATGGGCTCTGTTGTCGGTGAACTGTCCCATAGGCGTGTGCTCGGTGTGTCCAGGAGAGTAAAGGCCCCTTGAAGGGCCCGTGGGAACATGATGGAAAATAAACCAGAAACCCGCTTCCTGAAGGAAAATATTAAAATTCAACACAGAACCACAGAGAAATGGGTTACTAGCTCAGATCCAGACTTGCCTCTGAGCCTGCAGCAGCGCAACTGATGAGGTTATTATTGGGGTTGGCAATCCAGAAGGTTGAAGATGCACTGTTGGAAAGATTGAAGGAGAAGAGAAAGAGAGCTGAATAAACACAGTGAATGCTGCAGAACAGCAAAGGATGGGTCCAGCTTTATGAAGCCAATTTGTTTGGTTACTCAGACCTAATAAATGGTCATCAGGTGAAACCATCTTCTCTTGGTTTTTAGCAGCAGAAGGAATCAACTGGATTATATGAACATTAAAATAACTGTTTATTGCTTATGATGTCATCTAAGATCCTGGGCAACATCACCCAACCCTGGACTGCTCTACCTCCATAGAAAGACAGATGGACAGACAGAGAGACAGACAGACAGAGAGACGGACGGAGAGATGGACAGACTGACAGACAGAGAGTGACAGACAGAGAGTGACAGAAGGACAGAGAGACGGACGGAGAGAGGGACAGACAGAGACGGATAGACAGAAACGGACGGACAGAAAGAAAAACAGAAAGAGAGACGGACAGACAGAAAGACGGATAGATAGAGAGACAGACAGACAGAGAGAGGGACAGACGGACAGACAGACAGAGATAGATGGACAGATGGATGAAGGACAGACAGATAGACCGATGGACAGACAGAGAGAGGGACAGACAGAGAGACTGACAGAGAGAGAGAGACAGACAGAGAAATGACAAGACGGAAAGACAGACAGACCGACAGACAGACGGTCAGAAAGAGAGACGGACAGACAGAAAGACGAATAGATAGAGAGACGGACAGACGGAGAGAGGAACGGACAGAGAGAGGGACATAGAGAGGGACGGACAAACAGAGAGAGGGACAGACGGACGGACAGACAGACAGAGAGAGATAGACAGACGGATGAAGGACAGACAGATGGACGGATGGACAGACAGATGGACTGATGGACAGACAGAGAGAGGGACAGACAGAGAGAGACGGACAGGCAGAAAGACGAATAGATAGAGAGACGGACAGACGGAGAGAGGAACGGACAGAGAGAGGGACAGACAGAGAGATCACAAGACGGACAGACAGACAGACCGACAGACAGACCGATGGACGGATGGATGAAGGACAGACAGACTGAAAGACGGATGGACAGATGGATGGACAGCTGAAGAAACAGCTGAAGAGGCACCTGTTCAGCATGCATCGTTGTGCATCGCTGTGAAGATGGTCAGCGCGCAGCGCAGCAAACATCTGAA